GGCAATCTAATGATTTGCCGCAAAATGCTCCCGCATTCCCTTTGGCAGCTCGACTAACTAATAGATCATATACAATTTCAATGTACATTGGCAGGACACCATCCCTATGACATATGGACCGCCACTAACTTCGGGTAACTGCCATAATAGTGAATCTTACCAAATGGCCGGCAATGCTAAGACTATCAATCTTTGGCACGTTGCGTTCTTTGCATCCTTGTCCGAACCAAGCAGGGAGCTCCTTTCGAGTAATTTAGGATGGACCTAGGAAGTGGGTGGACGTGGTACATTGGTAGAACCCAACCCCTAAAGGGTTAATACGCTCTACACCACTACTACTATTGGAATACTCTATCACAACGTCCAATCCGTGTTTATCGTATGTAAGCAATACGTGATGATTACACTTCTGCTTACCGGATATCTCGCTTTGAGGTTTACCCACGTGTTTATGTTCATGCAAAGTCAAACTAGTAAGTGTTCGTTCAAGCATCCCAGCGGGTACAGCAAAACCCGAAGGCAATAGAGAACAAGGGTGTGGCGGAATCCTTTGCTGGGACCATATTCGTCTGCCCAATTACAACCAAAAATACAATATGTACTATGAAAATTGGCGATACACACTACTTTTAAGGCCACTATACCACTAGCACTTATAGGTAGGTAGGGTACCTAGGCATGTGCAAACGTCTTTCTTACACTTCAGCCATTGAGAGTTACTATATAAATCTGGTTACATGTACTCCATGCCCCGCATGCTGATACCAGCTATAAGTACTGTGCTACATCGCAGTACTCATGGATGGGTAAGAACTACTACCTGGTCCTTTGTCGAAGGATTCTATTTGTAATGTGGTCCAGACGGTAGTGTAATCACTATATCCTCGCACAGTACAATATGGGTGATTGTTTGCCTAGGAAGATATTCCGGACGCTCACTATTCAGCTACGAATAAGGAGAAAAAAGATTAAAGCAACACCCCTTGCAGCTGCAGGTGCCAAAGTAAGCGCTTTTTAATTGCATGATGGAGTAAATAGGACCATATCCACCAATAGGTAGGTATTGTTGCTATCTAATCACAATTGCCCCATCGCCATACATGTACGAGTACTACTAGGGATAGCTAGCTTGCTATAGCTAGTAAATAGGCAGGGGTTACCGCCTAGCTTTTCGAGGAAATCGGTATACAGCAGTATCTAGAGCCATTCAAGAGCAATAGGCTCGTTCAATATTCCGGGCTTACCCCCGCGTTGGAGAAGCTCCGTAAAGTACGACGCAGCTAGCTTCAAGGACGATGCAGTAGTGCACACATTACAAGATCCACAGCCAAAGAAACGTTACCAAGTTGCATTCCGACACATTTGACAAAAATCTTGATCAAGCTTAAAATTGTAGCCCAAGACGCCCGAGAGTGATGGTGTTGGCATGCCTCTTCACGCCCAAGTCCCCTTCTAGCTTTCATCTCCCATCTTCATTCATGATTTAGAGTTCACGCTTTTAGACAATTCTATGCCTGTTTTTGCTACTCGGCGCCAGGATGCATGCCAAGGCAAATAACGATACTGGCCCTTCTACTTCTACAGAAGAGGGGTATATGGCTCAGCTTGAGTTACCCCAAGGTGTCAGATTGATAGCTTCGGAAATACTTGATCAGCGCTCCGACCAAGAAATAGCGTCATGGTTACAAAAGAGACACGCCGTTACGTCTCAAAAGAACGTATGGACATTTTGGAATAAGGGATGGAAAGCCATGCAGCCATGGGCACAGCGAAATGTAATCAATTGGGTTCGAAAGCTTGGCCCAGACTGGACAGTTCACGTTCTGGACGCCGTTCCTGACTCAGAAACACACGTTAAGCACTTTGTCGAATCATCATTTTTCCCGGAAGCTTTTAATAAAGGGACCATGGATGGGTTATTCGTGGGGCCTCACCAAGGAGACCTAGTCCGTTTACCTCTGCTGTGGAAGTATGGCGGCGCGTGGATGGATGTCGGCACACTTCTGTTTCGACATCTGGACGATATATGGTGGAATCGCATTATCGATCCGGCTTCACCGTGTGAGCTAGGTGGCTTTGCTGTCGAGTTCCGTGAAAAATATTACACAATGCTCAACGGATTTCTTGTCTGCCAGTCTGGAAATCCCTTCATTAAAAGATGGCATGACATTTATCTCAGCCTCTGGGGTCCGGATACGACGAATGCAACCGGATTCCATAAGCACCCCTTGCTAGCTCACATCAAAGCCATAGAAACACCATCTGACAGGGTGATTGAGGATCCAGAGATGATTACTGCAGTAGATGTCATGCTCGATTATCTCGCGCATTTCCTTTGCCTTGAGAGACTGAGGGGTCTGCGTGACCCCAATGATGGGTTTGATGGCGCGGAGTATTTTGCAACCAAGATTTTTCTTGCGCCTGCGATGCAAGAGTTATTCGCCTTGCAACCGCTTACACAATGGTCGGGAACTGAGCAGAATAATCTCTTGAGGGCACGCCTTGACGGCCCTAAAGATGAGATTTGGCAAAAAGCCAATGCTTATGTGCGCGACGCATTTGCAAATCAATCTGCCATCAAGGTGAGCCGCGGTCCCAAAAACCCCAAGTTAGTGTGTTTAGCGGAGCTTTGGGATAAAGAGGAGTTTGCAGACGCTGATCACGGAGAGGGGACGTTTGCATCCTATCTGAGATATGGTAGCATACACTATGACCAAACGAGAGACCTGGTTCCCATGGTGCTGGAGCGAAGTGAGACCACCTTCGAACTGGGGCTACTAGAGCCCCTGAAAGATTTTACCCAGTAAAAATGAGAATACTATTTGTCCAGACTATAGATGTCCCGTGAAACAATAATCGCTCCTATACTGCCGTGATCGAAAATGGCTGCCGGAATAACACACATCGCTGCACTATGGCCTACAGGGACAAGGGCGCAGATGACGGTCTCCATCGCTCCAACCTTGGATACACATATGACGGATCAAACATCCATAGCTCAATACTTGACGTACCACAGATAATGTACACCGTAGACCAGCGGTGGTCTGATGGCGAATGGCCTACACGGGTAATGGTGAAGCCATTACTGACTCTATGCCTATATTACCTATCACTTATTACAATTTCGAGATGCTACCAAACAGGAGATAAGATGTTAGTGCCGCTGATCATGGAGCTTCGTCTATTAGCTGGGGATGGAGTAATCTATACATATGTGGTGTGGCCCGTGTGGCTGCGGTTGAAGATGAATATGTATTAGACGAGTGCACAGTGTAGAGGTACCAGCCCATGAGTATGAACACTACGCTTGATAGAGTATAAACTGGATGAGAATACGAGCTCAATTGGTCAGGGGTTTCGAATTACTATCCAGCTCTAAGCATGGTGGCACGGATATCATATGCGTACGAATTACAGATAGTAATCTGAAAATGTTAACGTGCAGATCAACATTGCCATTTACTTCAGTAGTACTAGCAGTATGACAAGTCGAATACGAGTCAGCACCAGTGGAAATCGGCACGGGACGAGACCCGGCTAGTAGTGGCCCCGGCCATGAGTGCATAATCGCCCTGGAGAGCTTGGCTAGAAATTTGAAATGCAACGATGCATGTGGAGTCAGGTACCATTTGTGGCACTTACACCGGGTACTGGAGAGAGCTTCTCGGTACCGAATTTCTCGCGAAAGGTGCCAGTACCTGGGATAGGCTACTTGATGCTGCGCTTCTGCTGCTGTACACAAGTTTGGGTGAATTTGTATGCTTCATACCTTGTTACCTATCTGGGAAGTCACTCTATGACGCGCAATTATTGAGCAGAATGGATGAAAAGTCAAGTGGACAGCAGCAAGAAGGCCAAACATCGCTTACTAGCAGTACGGTATCGCCTTCTGTCGCTCCAGATCCTATTGACAATGAGCCCATCCAAGATGGCTTACAGGGTCAGGCAGAGCAGAAGCCCAAATTGAAAGATTACTTTGTTTGTTGCCCTATTTCCACCTCCATAAAGCCCTGTCTAATAGTGTTTAGCGCGTCTTTAGCTATGCAACCAAAATTGACATTTTTGCCTACACTGTGGGTATTATTTCGTCTATCGCGACGGGAGTTACTTTACCACTGATGAATGTCGTTTTCGGTAAGACTCTTGCATGTTCTTTCTTGTCATTGAAATCATGGTGAACTCACAGATGGAACCCTGCAGGAAGCTTTGTCGGTAACCTAAGCGGCTTTTCTCAATCATCTAGCGATGGCGATGCCAGTAGGTTAAAGCATCAAATAGACAAATTATCGTAAGCCTTCTACGTGGTATTTTCATAATAGTGTTTATCACTTGAGAGTTACTAAGCAAAAGAAGGCTGTACATGTTCTTTCTCTTCATTGCCCGCCTCGTACTGAATTATGCCAACAAAGTGAGTTCCGTTTCCATTTGACGGGTTGTGTCTATTAGATGGACTAACAATGAGAGTAGTTCACATTTCGTATGGCAGGCATTCGACTGTCATCTGCTATTCGACTCCACTATCTGCAAAAGCTCTTCGGGCAGAGTGTTCATGCGCTTGACTCAATGTCTCCTGGCTATGCCATAAACACCATTACATCGACAAGTAATACTCTACAGCTAGGCATTTCTGAGAAGTTAGGAGTCTTTTTCGAATACAATGCCACTATAATCGCCGCGCTTGTAGTGGCCTTTCATGCCAATTGGAAATTGTCTTTTGTTGTCATTTCAGTGGTTGCATTTATCATTCTAACAGTGTCCATAATAATGCCCTTTACCGCGAAAGCAAGTAGCCAAATGGTTCAAGTAGGTGCTCCATCAGCTTTTTACCATCTATGATATTAAACTGACCTTTTTTTCCCCAGGCGGACGCAAACGCTTCTGCAATTGCAAGTGATGCTCTGGCTGGTGTGCGAATGATTGCGGCCTGCGGTGCTGAGAACCGCATTGCTCGGAAATATACCTTTTTTGTAAATGAAATGAGAAGTCATGGTAACAAAATGACACCGCTAATCGCTCTTCAATTTGCATTGACGGTACTTGCCCATCACCTCCACAATATTTCCGACTGCTAATATGTGACAGTTTTTTGCTGTTTTCGGTTGCTTTGGTCTTGCATTTTGGTTTGGTACCAAACTCTACCTTGAAGGTCACTTGGACAACTTTGGGACAATAACAGTGTAAGGACGGTGCACCTATGATAACTTTGGCTTACACTAACCTAATGACGATCAGTGTTTTGCTTTCGATGACCATGATCGTCTTTTCATTAGAGCGGGTGGCTACGCCTTTATTAGCTCTTAGCAAAGCTAGGTTCGTCTATCACCCATTTGTGTGGACGTAGCAATAGGGACTGACACAATAAAGTGCTGCGGCTCGCCAATTTCTCAACGTAATTGATGCTCCTCAGCCAAGCCAAGGTCAACTCAAAAGTCCAGAAGTCAATCCCAAAGAAGATATTTTTCTCAAGCAAGTCACATTTGCTTATCCTGGTCGACCACATATTAAAATTTTAGACGACCTGGACCTACGAATAGAAGCTGGGAAGACAACCGCTATTGTTGGACCATCTGGATCTGGGAAAAGTACTATCATTGGACTCATAGAGCAATGGTATACCCTCAACAAATCGCCTATTCCAATGCCCGAAGAGCATGGGGGCGCAATAAAACCGAGCGGAGCCGTCCTTATTGGAGACCGCTCTCTGGACGAAGTAGACTTGAAGTGGTGGAGATCTCAAATTGGCTTGGTTCAACAAGAGCCCTTCCTCTTCAATGGGACAATTTACACAAATGTTGCTAATGGCCTTATTGGAACTCAATGGGAAAGTAGCTCTGAGGAGCAAAAGAGAAAATTGGTTACACAAGCGTGTAAAGAGGCATTTGCAGATGAGTTCATTAATAAGCTTCCAATGGTTAGTCTCTCTGTTTCTAGAACCTTTTTTGTTATAGACCACACTGACTAAAGTTTTGATAGGGCTACGAAACGCCTGTTGGTGATGGAGGTACAAAGTTATCTGGTGGACAGCGCCAACGAATTGCTATCGCCCGGGCGATCGTTCGCCAGCCTAATATCCTAATTTTCGATGAAGCAACAAGCGCCATAGATGTGCGAGGCGAAAAGATTGTACAGGCTGCTCTTGATCGAGCTGCTCAGTCGCGCACCACTATTACTATTGCGCATCGTTTGTCAACAGTACAAAAAGCCGACCGTATAGTCGTTCTACGACAAGGCAGGGTGGTAGAATCCGGGACTCATGAGAGTCTTTTGGCTATACCTAATGGCACCTACTCTAGTCTTGTGCATGCTCAAAACATATCCCTTGGGGATGAAACAAAAGAGACTAGCATGGAAAGAAGCTCGGAAGATGATATGGAGACGGCCATTCTACCCCAAAAAGACAAGCCCGAGTTGACCGTTGAGGATGTCTCAAGTCATCCTATCGAGCAACATTCTCGAAGCTTTTGGAAAAGCTTTGGGCGACTGTTGTATGAGTCCAAAGATAGCCACTATCTCATGATTCTCATTTTCGTCTTCACAGCTTCTGCAGGAGCAACAGGACCAATACAAGCACTACTTTTTGCTCATGTTATTGATGTTTCCAAATACACAGGGTCCAAACTAAGATCAGAGAGTGAATTTTGGAGTGGCATGTTTGGAGTGCTTGCTGCAGGAGCTGGCATTTCTTACTTCGGGTCATTATCAACCTCATTACGCAATGGGCTCATTATCCGCTCAAAATACCAGAAGGAATATTTTGAGTCAACTCTCTGGCAGAGGATGGCATTTTTTGATCAAGAAGAGCATTCTCAAGGCGCTATCGTCGCTCGTGTAGCGTCTGACCCACAGCGGCTGGATGAGCTCTTAGGCGCCAGTATGGCGAGCGTCTACATTGCCGTCTTTAGCATCGTCGGCTCTGTATCAATAGCATTTGCTTTTGGATGGAAACTGGCTGTGGTTGCATGCTGTGTCGTCCTCCCAATCAGCATCGTCGCATCATTCTTTCGATTCAAATACGAGCTGCAGTTTGAGAGAATGAACAATGAAGTTTTCGCTGAAAGCTCCAAGTTTGCTTCTGAGTCAATTGCTGCTTTCAGGACTGTGAGCGCCTTCACCTTGGAAGAGACTATATGTACGCGGTTTGAGACTCTTTGTCGAAATCATGTGGTTGCAGCCTTTAAAAAAGCTCGATGGGCAACATTCCTCGTTGGCCTATCCGATAGCGCAACTATACCCTGCCAAGCTCTGCTTTTGTATTACGGAGGCCGCTTGCTTGCCAATGGAGAGCTCACGGTACTCAAATTCTTCGTATCTTTTATGGTTGCCTTGAACGCGGGAGAAGCTGCGGGACAAAGTTTGAGTTATGGGCCGAGCGCAGCTCAAGTCACAACTGCCTCAAATAGAATATTGGATATGCGAGAGTCTCGTTTTCAGGACAAGATTGAAGCGCATGAAGAAATTCCGGAATCCGACGGGGGTGTCAAAATTGAACTTCGGAACATTCACTTCAAATATCCCACACGAGACGTGCCCGTCTTTGAAGGACTCAACCTGACGATTGAGAAGGGGCAATTCGCTGCTCTAGTTGGAGCGTCTGGCTGCGGGAAGACCAGCATTATATCGCTCTTAGAAAGGTAAGCGGTTAATTATAATTCTGCCAGCAAAGCTAACTCAAGTATAGATTTTACGATCCTACAGAAGGACAAATATTGTACAACGGAAAAGATATTGCCGGATTTAGTGTGAAATCATATCGCAGGCAGCTATCATTAGTTTCCCAAGAGTCTTCTTTATTTCATGGTAAGTTGTTGTTAAAATTCCAAGATATTCGTGTCTAACAGATCACTTCAGGTTCAATCAGAGAAAATATCCTGCTAGGTGTAGACTCATCAACAGTATCTGATGAACAACTTCATCAAGCTTGCCGCGATGCATCGATTCACGATTTCATTGTGTCTTTGCCCGAGGGGTATAGTACTGCTGTTGGATCCCGTGGTGTATCGCTCTCTGGTGGTCAAAAGCAGCGAATTTCTATTGCCCGCGCCCTTATCCGAAGCCCTAAACTCTTATTGTTGGACGAAGCAACAAGCTCCCTGGATCCAGAGAATGAGAAGCTCGTACAAGAAGCTCTTGAGCGCGCTTCAAAAGGTAGAACAATGGTTGTTGTGGCGCACAAGCTTTCTACTGTGAGAAATGCAGATGTCATTTTCGTCTTTGGGGACGGCAAGATACTAGAGAATGGAAGTCATTCTGAATTACTTGAACGGAATGGAGTTTATTGGAGGATGTGCAAAAGTCAAGCTTTGGACGCCTAGAATACTGAAACCAGCGGCGGAGTCACAGCCCCAATTGTTGCATGCCCCATGTCCTGTTTTAAGGCTCCTAGAATATCTACCACAAATTGTCATAAGAATGAACTAATAAAAGCATAATGCACCGACTTTATACACTTTCCATATACATTGAGGCAAGATAAAGCAAACGTCGGGTTATCATCTCAGCATCTTGAGCGAGCCAGCCCACTAGAGTTTGCGAGCAGCGCGCTGGATAGGGCCGGCCGAACTAACAATTATGGAGAAGGCATGCACAAATACAAGTTGAATGCCATGCAAAATAGAGATCTAGACTAAATTATACATTTTTGCCACTCAGTGCAAGTTGCCAATCTCATACCCTTTACTATAGATCCTTCTCTTGTCTTAGAACTCTTGTAACTTCGTCCCAGTTGATCATTCCTTTGTATCCCCGCTGCAAAAATGTTTCCCCCATCATGCTTGCCCAATAGCCCTTAGATGCTCCTGTTCCCACCCATAGCCATTCTCTCATTGCCCCAAATCTCCAAGGACCGAACCCCCAGCCGCGTCCTTTCTGCACTTCGTTCACCACCAGCTTTGCATATTCTGTTCCCTCCATCTGCATATCTGGGGATCCCAGTTCCATCCTTCCAGCCATGGCTTTATACAAGCTGTTTTCCGGTACTTGATCCGTTCCATTGGCTTCCAGTTTGCTCTCGATATAGCCAGTAGGGCATGTCAAAACATGTACGTCGAAAGGCGAAAGCTCGATAGCCAGAGTACGACCATACGAGTTCAGCGCTGCTTTAGTCATTGCATAGGGCCCTTTGAAGGGGAACGGTGTCACAGATGACGCTGATGAAATATTGACAATCGTGCCTTTGGCGGCTATGAGTAGCGGCAAGAGAGCAGATACAACAGCCATGATACCGAAGACGTTTGTGTTAAATATAGAATAGATATGCTCCGGTGAGACATCGGCTAATGCGCCGCGTGTAAGAATTCCACTATGCGCGCGTTAGCCATGTTAAAGTTCAATTAGTAATAAATAGTAATAGTAATAACATCAATCAGACCCAATCCCACTTACGCATTATTGACCAAAACGTCCAGTTTGCCGTCAGTGATTCTTTCCACCTCTAATCCAGCCGCTTTGACACTCTCTGGTTGGGTTACATCCAGAGATAGAGTAGTCATCCCTCTTTCTCGAAGGTGAGATATGCTTTCTGGTCTGCGAGCCGTAGCAATAACATGGTAATCTAAAGAGAGTGAAGAGACAAGTTTGTGTAAGCCTTATGCTTTCAAACATCGACTTGTATTTGATGAGTTAAAAACTCGCCTCTTGATTGGAACTCTCTCGCCAATGCTTCACCAATTCCGCTTGAACATCTAAGAAACATGTTCTGTTAATATTGGTTGACGGGCTCCTATATCACCGACGCCATACCCTGTAATAAGTACTTTTTTTCGTTGGGTAGTTGATGACATGATAGAATGATGGCTCAGGATTGCTGAGAATGACTTAGTCTAATAATATTTATATGTATTGCTAGAATGGAAATCCAGAGGAATGCTGCCCAGCTTATATTTTCTACATATCACGAGTGAAGACTTGGAACTCAGAATAGCTGAAGGGGATGATTGCCTAATTAGGAGAGTGGAGCTGCTTACTCCCTGGGGACGTTTCGATGCTATGACCTTTCCACATTTGGTATTTGGAGCTGCTTATGCCCGGGTATGTTGTGGCTTGAATACTCCGACTCACGTGCTCTATCAGCCCGAAAAGCATCGCCTACAGAATCTCTCCAGTGTAGAAACATTGAAACTATGCATCATACTCCACGTTATTGCAAATCGCCGACGCTGTACCATTTCCTACTACGAGTCATGGAGAATACAACGGAGATGTCATTGCAAATGAGGGCCGCAACATGTGCCGGAGGAGTATCTGAGCAACCACCGGAACAAGGAAGACGGAAGACCGAGTTGCTTCGCCCCCTTGACGTACAACAGCCGACATTGCACTTTATCACTGCGACTCTGCCACAACAATTGAACAATTCGAATGCGCTAAGCCAGATCAGATCACATGTTTCCAAGGAATCTCATGCTCGCCGGCGGCGGGCACTTACTGAGAGGCTAGCGCTGTATCAAGCGGGCAGTTTCAGCGCCAAGCAACAATTGCACGCTCGTATCAGAGATGGCGGAAGGGAAGCTTGTAATACTTGCTTTCCGTGGCCTCTTTCCGAAACTGAACTATTCCTCTTTAATTTCTGTACGCGTTGCTACTAAATCCTCTTTTTGTGACACTCTAACATGTGGCGTAGTTTTAGAATGGGTCATACCAAACGGTTGGACCGAATGTATTACCGAAGAATCCCAGCGCTCGTTTCAAAGAAGTATGAGATCAATTTTCGTCCCCGTTGCCATGACAGATATAGGATTATTTACTGCCGTGATGTACGTATCAGCACGAAGATACAGTCTCATCTCAAACAATACCCGGGAAGCAGAAAGGTATCACAAACTCATGATACACTACCTTCTCCTATGCTTAGAGAAGATAAAAGCCATTATCAATATGAGAAGTTACCCAACAGATGCTTCCATGGCTCTGGTACTTTGTATGGCTACAGAAGCAGTAAGCCTCGTTACATTTCTTAATGCATCCCTGATGATTTTCAACCCCGTTTATCGCATGCAAAACTATCTTGCTGAGTAACGTTTTCTTATAGCACTGGGAGGGGCAAGTGGAAGCATTTCGCATTCATGGAATGGCCTTCACTGAGATGGTTGAGACTCGTAGAACATTTTCAGAGCAAGAAAAGGTTTCTCCATTCCTCCTAGAAATGGCCTCGAAGTCAATATACGATCCAAGATATAACATTGTGATGGGACCTTGCTGTACAAATTAGCCAGGCTGCAGCTATCGAAGACTGTCATCATCTAGATGTCACAGCTAATCTACACGAGCATTAAGCTGACTTAAACATCACCGGTTTTTGAGTGGTTGATCTACTAGGTGCAGGGGCTGCGGCACCAAACAAGTTAGTCGAGGTAACTGAAGTGGTCGTTGCGGGTAGTGCGGCTGGTACAGTGTTAGATAGGTTGGTAGTAGGGGCGGGAGAAGGGGCGGATAGCGGAGCAGGAGATGATGCTGCGGCCGGCGTCGCTGGCTTGATGCCAAAGAGAGCTGCAGACGCGCCAGTCAACGGGTTTGCGGCATCCGAATTACCAAAGAGTCCATTGCCCTTGGGCTTCTCAGACTCCTTCTTGGGAGCAAACAGAGCAGCCGTGGACGCCGAAGGCATTGATGCCTTGACATCGACAAACAGCTTCGAGGTTGCTTCCGATGATTAACTGTTGTGAAGTAGCAGTTGCAATTCACGCGTTCATTGCTCGTAGCTTCTATGGGCGACGAACTACCTGGCAATTATTCAGATGCGCTAAACGTATATTTACAACCATTGATATATATCAAGCCTAGGAACCTATAAAGAACCAAGATCCCAGTCGCTTTTCATCGTTGCCGCACTGACAAAGATGCCAGATATTTTCCGTCCCAATTCACAAGATCTACATCTAGCTCCAGGAGTAATATCAACTCCATAGACTGAAAATCAGACAACAGTGCTAGTTAACTTAAGATCAAACTATCTGATTTATTGTTTGAGATGACATGTGTGATGGAAGCGAAAATATCGCAATTTCCTTCGCGGGGGTCTAATTTTACTCTGCAGTAGTAAATGACAAGCGTTCTATATGCCACTATAGCAAGCCACATCTTCAGATCTTAGTTAATTGACGATGAAACGTAGTAAAAGCCATGCTATACGGGTTTATAACTATCTTGCAATCCCTTATGATAACCTAGTTCAATATCGGAATCTTGAATCCTATTAGGAGCACGCATATTGTCACTTCGACAAACCAATTCTACACCTATAGAATCTGTGCGCCATAAGTCTCCTTCGCCTCGAAGGTTGGGGGAAGTATCCACTCGCTTGGTTATAGTGGGTTTTCTTCTAAATGTTGTGTTACTGATTCTTTCGTCAGATTCTGAGCCAAGTCTCTCAGATGAAGATATGGTGTTGAAAAGCCGCATATGCTTCAAAAGAGGTTTGAGTGTTGCAAGAGAGGATGTTGTTAAGGCAACTCCAATCTCAACCGTGCTCCAAATACCTAGGTCAATGGTTGTATAGAGGTAATCTGGGTTATCAAGATAGCCTTTTGCGAAAGGAATGCGAACGATTGTAGCGATAGAGGCACTGTAGATTATTAGGCTGTGTATAACCTCACACTAGAGAAGTGGCTGATACTTACACAGACCCCAAAGCAAGCAAGACAATGATGGAGATCTTCTCTCGCTGTGGTATCTGTGCTTTCCAGACAAGAGTGGCTGGAAGTGCGGGCAATATCCAGTCAGCGACAACATTAAGAAACGCTGAGATGTATATCGTGACCGTGGCGAATGTTGTTGCGTTGCAGCTACCCTCAGTCGGTGGAATGGGATTATATCTCGTCCATTGCAACTCAATCGGATCGCAAGTTCGGATAGCAAATACTTCATATATAAGGCTGAACACAGTGATAACGGCCAAAATGACCCGGATGGTGATTTGTCGCCAGCGTTTGCGTGGACAGATTCGCAGGAGGAATATACCGACAATCCATTTAGTCAACATGGAAAGAATTACGTATATGAAAGTGGTAATCCATCTATAAAGAATAGCCTTTGGGCGATCATCAGGAGGCACATCAATGACATGCGAACCTAGTCCATATTTGATGGAAAGGGCTGCACAGATGGTGTAAGCTGTATATAATACCTGTGAAAGTATATCAGTGTCTGGACTTGCTCTATGCTGTCTAAAACGATATTTCGTACCAATGAAACTAATGTTATATAATCTTCAGCGAAGAAGTGCTTGAGAATGAAGCCATGAGTGTAGAATCGGAGGCCTATGGCTATAGAGCTTGTGATATAGAGTGTTATGACAACTGCCAATGCTTCAGAACCTCGACTTCCAGGCATAATTTAGTGCTGAATGCCAAGTAACGAACTAGAACTGATGCAAAGCTGAGCATAAACGTAATGCAGCCCAAGCCCACGTATATAAAACTTGGTCAAAAGGTATCTCAAAGGAAATCATTTAAGCATCAACTACCTGACTGGATGCCAGTCTCTAGATTAAGAAGATTCTTAGGGAATGTGCAGGCTATTCTCAATATAGACAACAGAGCGAGGTGTGTGCCCCTTTGTTTAGACAAAACTACCTAGTTTGTACTAAGAGCCTCAGCCGCTCTTTATGAAGTATAGTGTGAGTGACATGTCTGTGGGTTGTGCGGAATAAGTTCCCTGTCAAAGCAAAAACCGTTACGTTAGATACAGTGGCTATGAGAGACCTATGCCTCGGCTTTACCAGCGCACTTTTGTACTTTTAGAAGAGAAAGTGATAGGCCGCTATTGTTTCAGCGATAGCCGAGTTTGGTCTGAGATTAAAGTTTTGTAGCAAAAGTTCACCGCGGCAAGTGGGGTTTCACTACTCTAAAACCTCTTTCACATGGCTCTAGAAGTCAGTTCGACATGTCAATGCTAATATGAGTACCGCTGTCAGATTCGCTATTTCTTTGTTGGTAATAGTTGGGTTTTTCATGTGCAAAGGGAATGTTGCTCTCTCGGGTAAAGCAATACATTTCTATCACTGATGAGGCTCAGCTATCTTGCATCGGAATGCCCTTGGAGTGTAATGCTCAGCAAGAACAAGGCGTGGGCAACCCAAATGGATGCGGGGATAGGTTTTACTGTATATCCATGCCTATTTTGATATCGCATTGGGCCTTTGGAGCGAAACTGACCTAGCCAACATATAGATGCTAATTGGAGAAATTGCCGTATGCCCCGAAAACTCAGCTAATGGGGTTGTCTAGATGCTACACCCGCTATAGCTCGCTACAGCTAGCTAACAGACTAGGGTAACCGCGATCAAACTGTAAAACCCTTTCGAAAAATAAATAAATAGCATTGTCAATCTGATCCACCGCGCTCCATTGTTAGTTTTCCGATAAAAACCGAGCCCAGTTCTTCGGCTTAAGGAGGCTAAACATTTCGATATAACAGAGTACGCGTATTAACACTTGGGCTCGAGTTCTGTAATTCTCTTCTGTTAAATTTTGCTTGCATTATATGTTTTGGCATTAACGAAAAGCGTGGCCGCGGTGCTAAATCGGACTTTGAGGCCACTACAGGGCGTTACAATTCGAACACTTGTTATAATCGCCCTCCATTTTGCTGTTGGTCTTGCTTTCTGCGGTTTTCCAGGCGATGTTTCAAGTTGATTATATACTGTATCCGTAGGAAATGAGTCTCTCAACATACCTAAACTATCTGCATATAGTTCAAGTGCATATGATCATTATTATTATCATTGTTGTTAGCTGTGCATCCTTTTTTAAAAGGTTGCATTAGATAACTCTTAGAAGCTTTATAAGGAATAAGGTAGATCTCTAGCCTTGCCGTTTTTGTCACAAGGCGCAAATTGCCACCAGTCCGAGTTCTTTCCAAAATACAGAAACTTGATGATGAAGAAAACAATAGCCGGAACCGGAGGCCAGCTGCCAATTTGCTCATATTCAACGTCATGATTATGAACCCCAAAGGGCAGCTCCACAACCTAGAATCATGCAATTCATTGTCAGAATACATTGTTTTGGTATTCCAAAAAGACTATTCCGAGCTCCAGCCACAAAAGGAGGGCACGAGGGGTAGTCGAAGGCAAACGGTGAACTTACCATGCCGTCAGCTGTCTGAGTTTTCTTCACCACCTTGGCGATTGTATCCTTTGTCCATTTGGCCCAATCGGTCTTGTCCTTATACTTGTCAAAGCCTTTGAGAGTCAAAATCTCATCTTGCAAATGCTGTCTTAGGCTAGGCATAAATGAGTCAATAATAGTCTTCAGTTTTGCCCCGTCATATTTTTCCTCGCCGATGTCCGCATTCTTCAAGTAATCGGTGTATGCTTTTACGCCTTCTTCAAAGGCATGATGTTGCTGGACGCTGGCATCCATGATACCCCTTTCCCCAGTGATTTCCTCGATTTCTGGAAAAATCCACTTCTCTTCGGTCGTATGGTGCAGGCTAAGGACACGGCCCCATACACTGGCGTATTTGATGAATGCTGGAATGCTAGCCGATGAACGTTCGACGTTGATGCACTGAAGGTAGATGCTGTTTATGCCTCTTATCAAGCAGTTATGGACAGTAACCATTTCTAAGCCCATGGCATGGTATGGTTCAACCTTCTCTCCTGGCTAGACATAAGAGTGAGCGTTGCGTCCACTCGAGAATACCGTTAATTAATTTTTGGCATACCTTGTAACCGAGAAGCGCAATCGGAATAAGTTCAAAGGGTCCGTCGGCCCAAGGCCGGCTGGAATTGCCTTCTGCGCTAGCCATGGTACCGAGTACCGGGAGTTTGACGCCTTCTGACTCTTAACTGCAAGGTAATGAAGGAAGATCAGCAAGGTAAGCTATGCTGAGGACAATTCACCTGAAGAAGAAATACTTTAGAAGGGAAGGTTGTAAACTCCGTGTATTTTATTCCTGTAAAAATAAGGGCAGTACACTAGTGTGTATTTATACGCTCGATATATGGTTCTATCTTTTAATGCTGACGCTACTACTATATGAAGAATTCTCTCTGCCATGAATAATGCAGCTAGACAAGAATAGAGGCTATTACTAAATTCTTACACGCCGCGAAAACGGTATGAGATCGTAATCCTGCTGATACTGGAGCCATTGGCGAATCCGCAAGCACAGTGGGAGAAGATTCTTGATATAACCCAATTCTCTAGCAGCAATGGGACTCTTTGCATGGAGTTAAATATCCCATCATAAGGATTTATCAGCGAATATTGAGCTACCAGTGCCATTCTGCTAGGCTACGAAGATGTTCATGCGAAAGCGTTTGGCAGTACTATTCACGCTTAAAGCGAACCAAGAAAAAAGAGTTTGATTAGCAGAGATAGCGAGCGATCCATGAGGAAGAATGAGAGGCTGGTGACGAGAAAAACCCATCTATTGCCTGTGGACCCCTTTAGCGTGTGCGCATAATGCGAGCCTTAATGCTTACAGCTAAGCTATTGATGCATTCGACGCCGCTAAAAGATATCTTCTCGGGCCAGCTAAAATGAAAACTGAGCCACAAATCAGATAAAAGCATTGCTTCCACCTGTTGCAGGAATGCGTCAACTGTAAGCCAAGAAAACGACCCATCAGTTTCGCAGTAACAGAACTGCGGTTTCCGAGCAAAAAGCATGAAGTATAAATAGAATTGCAAAAGAAACACTTTACAGCAAAACAAGCGAGCCTTGTTTCTAGGTTCGGATAGGTCAGACACACCGTATCTCTCTGATGATCTCATTGAGGCGGTCTGTCAGCCTTCGCCCATTACATCATCCACTGCCTTTCTAATTAGCATTGTATCTAACACGTAGGGTATGCTGGACTTACCGCTGCACAACGACGACTACAGTGTTGATATAATAGGTGTACATGCCTCAGAAATCTTGATCGTCGGAAGCCCTGACCCGAAGTAGTGTTGTTGAGTTTCATAGTGGATAAGAGAAGAGAGGATCCTATGCGGTGCTGCTAAGCTTAGAGTCGCTTTGATCATTAAAATTGAAGTTCTGTCTCCAGACATCAGTTATTGTAGAAATGGAATGGTCCACTAGAGATAGGGCGGATGATATGTTAGTTTTCCATGCACTGATGTGCTTAGTTATCGACTTACGTGGCTCATCAACAGCGAAACAACACATAAATGGTATAACATTTCTTTCTAACCGCCTTGGTCGTAATGTTAAATCCTTTGTCTTCTATTTCATCAAGACTCTCTTCGGGATAAATTCATAGGAGCAGAAAAGTGATCTGGGTGGCATTGTCAAACGACGTTTTCCGGAAGTATATGGTGATTCATAAACGAGCATTAATCTCCTGGTAATATTAAAACCCTGCTGGTTAGTGAGGTAAATAAATACATTACAAACAGCTCTTACTGTCCAGGATATCTCCAGCTATGGCTTAAAAAGGAAGTACCCAGAGCATCCCAAAAAAGTAATATCCAGGTATACCTGGTCAAAGGATGTTACATCCAACAGCTCTGCATAACTAACGTGACAAATCACCAATCCAATACATTGAATGACTCCTGATTGCCAGATAGAACTTTGCAAACTCCATACTTTTAGTAAATATAATAGCTTTGCTTAATACCTATATATAAGCCTCTTAATCTGCCCTACCAAAACATTTGTTTAGTACTGCGCCATCAACACATCACGGATCTTTACAAATATTTCCCTGACAAAAGCTGTCAAACTCAATCCTCTATTAGAACTCTTTTATACGCCGAAATGAGAGTTATAGATTTTGTTTACCTCGCTCTCTTCTCTATTGGTACCAATGCCCGAGATCTTCTCACCGTCCCTACCTGGGCTCCAGTAACTACCGACTCACCTCCTCTAAATGGTGCAGGATATCGTGTCGAGACTTTCGGTGGCGGCGCCTACATGGTGACAGATAACCAGTATAACTGCGTCTTCTTTGTCTCCTCCGAGGGGGTCATCCTTGTTGACGCGCCCGCATCCATTGGGCAAAATATCGCATATGCAATCAGTAACACCACTGACAAGCGCGTAACGCATGTCATATACAGCCATGCTCACGCAGATCATATCGGCAGCGCGTATCTTTTCAAGAATGCGACCCACATAGCGCATAGTATTACCAAAGACCTTCTTGCTGCAACACCAAGTTCTGATGATCCTCTCCCTGATGTCATTTTTGAAGACGACTATTCACTCCTTAATGGCAACCAAACCATTCAGCTTTCATATAAAGGTACAAACCATCAGCCCGGAAACATCTTCATCTACGCACCAAGCCAAAAGGTGCTGATGCTTGTTGATGTCGTATTCCCCGGATGGGCACCATTTGCATATCTCGGCGAGGCGGAAGACGTCCCTGGGTTCATCCAAGCGCACGACCAGATCCTCGAGTACGATTTTGACCACTTTGTGGGTGGGCATCTTACACGATCTGGCGTTCGCGCTGATGTGGAGGCGCAGCGCGAGTATATTCACGACCTCAAAAACAACTGTAATAATGCCCTCGCTCTCAGCAAGCAACCAGCCAATGCAACAAATCCGATATCTCAGCAACATTTGGTAAATGCGGCACTCCAAGCGAACCCTGGGAATCCGTGGGCTGGCTTCAAACTGTACCTTGACAGCGTGGCGAGCTATTGTAACAACGCCACAAACGAGAAGTGGCTGGGACGGCTCTCAGCTGTGGATGTTTATGGGATGGAGAACTCATACGCAATGGTCGCGGCGTTGAGCGAGACCAATCTTGGCCTCTCTGGATAAGTACATTGATTCAACTATGCGGGTTTAGATGCGCGGGATCTCATTGCCCGTCAAGACTTCTGCGCTCTTATGTAACTATATTGGATTCGTTTAGGCCGCTTTCAATTCGCCACTAATGAATATTGACAAAACTGACCAACCTTCCGAAATGGCGTAGTAGAAAAAGGCATCTAGTGCCCAATTGTAATGATGAGCAAAAGCCACAAATGCGTGTTTGCATGTTAAACTGCAATTGTACGCTGAGCTCTTTCTTCTTCATCCTCAGGTTTTCAAAGGCGAACTTCGCATTTTGGATCTATTGGAGTCAAAGAAAGCCGCGAGCGAGTGCGTTGGCCCGTCTAAGAATATCCTGTGTCCACCATATTATTCGATACAACATGAGTCGAACAACCCATCTGTTCCGATTTTCGACAGTCAATTGTTGGATTCAAGCACTTATACCAGCCATAGTACTCGCAATAGTAATGGCTCTTGATACTTAGTGTTATATTACGGAAATGCAATCATTTGCATGTCTCACGCAAGCTATTTAGGCATTCTGGCTACAACCGTCATTCAAGCGGCTCGAGATAATAAGCGTTTGAGAAATGTAAATGTAAATTCAACACTGCAGTCTATATGCGCCCGTATATCTTAATCCAACCCAACTATTGACAAATAACAGAGAAAAGAAATTGGACAAAAAGAGAAAAAAACCAATGTAAAATATGAAAGCTTTTTAAGCAAGACCAGCCGGGACAACAGCAGACTTGGCTGCGACCTTGGGCGCAAAGCTCGACAGAGGATCGTTACTGACAATGTCAAACACAGACAAGTCCGCCTGGAACTCCTTGCGCAGCCAATTCCTGATCTCGATAGCGACAAGACTGTCGATGCCGAGAGCCGGCAGAGACTTTCTGGGATCGATGTCGTCTACCTCGACCTTGAGAATGTTGGACAGGCCAGCCACCAGCGCGTCGAGCACGAGGTCGTGGGCCTGGTCCTTGGATGTGGCCGCCGCAACCAGCTTCTTCCAGTCCTCCTTTGCTGCCTGGCCGTTGCTGTCGCCACCAGAGTGACGATCCAGCTGGCTGAGAATGGCGAAACGCGAGTCGTCAAACCAGTAAGGGTCGTTGGATTGCGACTTGTCGAGCTGGCCGCCAGTGGCTGTGCCGATGGCAACCTGTGTCGGGGCGCGACCAGATACAGCGGCCGCGACGAGGTTCAGCACATCCGTCTCGGTCTGGGGTATCAAGTCTCCATTCTTGAGGAGCTGGAACACGTTATCCTGCTCGGTAGAGACACCGACGCCGACGACCAGACTCAGATTCAGACTGGTGGCTGCCAGGCCTGACGCGGCACGGTGGTGCATAAGAGCATCCTGGTAGTTGTTACCAGCGTTGTAGTTGGCCTGGCCACGGTTACCAATGATGCCAGCAATAGAGGACAAGCAGACGAAGAAATCCAAGTCAGCCGGCAGCAGCTCGTGCAGATTGCGTGTGGCCTTGAGCTTGGGACGCAGTGACAAGTTCCAGTCCTTTGCGGTCATGTTATTGTAGATGCCGTCCTGCAGAATGGTTAGATATCAAATAGCAAAGAAGAGGGGAGAGAAGAGAGACTTACTTTCAAATCCATGGCGCAGTTAATCATGCCCTTGATCGGGGGAGAGCTTTGCTTGACTTTGTTCAAGGCAACCTCCAGCTGTGCCTTGTCCGCTACATCGACCGCAGTAACTGTCGACGAAACACCCTGCTCCTTCAGCTCATCTAGCAGAGCTTGTGCTTCTGGGCGCGTGTTACCAGATCGAGACAGGAATACAAAATGCCTGGCGCCCTTGTCAGCGAGCATCTTGGCAATAGATCTACCAATGCCGCCAAGACCACCGACGAGGACGTAGGTGCTGTTAGATGAGAGTCGGAATGCACCGATGCCCCCGGGGATTACAGGGACAACGTCGTCAGGTCGGGGGATCAGGACAACCTTGCCAGTGTTGTCGTCGCTCTGCATCAGTTGGAACGCCTGCTCCACTTGACCGAAACCGAACTGCGCAACGTTCTTCAGGGGCCTAATGACGCCCTGGTCTAGCAACTCGAGAACCTGTGAGCCGAGCTTCTCACACTTGTCGGGATACTCTGAGACGAGAGCGTCAATGTCAACACCCGAGAAGCTGATGTTGTTGAGGAACGGTCGCATCTCCAGACCGGTGTTGTCCTGGATGTCGCGCTTGCCCAGCTCGATGAAGCGGCCAAACGGTGCCACACAGTTCCAAGTGCGGCGCAGAGCCTCGTTGGAGAGCGAGTTAAGCACAAAGTCCACGCCCTTTCCGTTGGTCAGGCGCATGATGCCATCGGCGAAGGAGTGGTCACGGCTGTTGAAGATGTGTGCCTCAGGGATGCCGTATTCAGCCATCAAGAACTTCTTCTTCTTATCAGAAGATACAGTGCAGTAGATGTTCTTGGAGCCGAGGTGCTGGGCGACGATGATGGCGGCCTGGCCGACACCACCGGCAGCAGAGTGAACCAGGACGGACTCGTCCTTCTGCAGGCGGCCGACGTTGATCAGCGATTGCACCGCCGTCTGGTACTGGGCCATCAGCGACCCGGCCACCTCATCACTAATAGATTTCGGAGTGAGCGCAAAGGTGCGCGGGTCTACACGCAGACGGGTCTGGAAACAGCCGCTGTAGAGGCCGAATACACGGTCACCGACACGGAACTTGGTGACACCGGAGCCCACCCTGGATACGATACCGGCGCACTCCATGCCAATATTGGTGTCTTCTTCTTGGCCCATGGCTATCATCACGTCACGGGAGTTCAAGCCGACCGATCGGACCTCGATCTCCATCTGGCCCTCGGCGATGGGATCCGCAGCAGTCAGGCCGGACACGAAGTGATACTCAAACGAGTCGAGCAGCCCAGGCTCGCGGAAGAGCATACGTAGTGTCTCATCACCACGGTCCTTCAAAGGCATTGTGACCGTAGGGAGGCTCTCGCCAGACTGAGCTGAATCCAGCAGAGTCTTGAGATCAGTTTCCGGCTCAAGACGTTCCACCAGAACCTGGCCCTTGCGAATGATATACTCCGAATCGATAGAGTGGTCAAGCGGCTTGCTGCTGCCAATGAGTTTGGCAATGGTACGCACATTGACATCAGCGTCAAGAGGGGCTGTCGAGTCGAGTAGGAGTGTGGTGAAGGGAATTTCCGGGTACTCGCCACGAATCGTACGACCAAGACCTTTAACGAGACCCCCAGAGGCGGCGTCCAAAGTCAACCACAACGACTCCTGGGTTCCGAGAATCAAGGAGCGGAGCTTGGTAAAGGAGTTTTCATCTAGATCCTCGAGGAAAGGAGCATCCAGATCCAATGCAAAGAGAGCCAAGTACGACGATAATTGTTCGGGAATGGCGGCGTCAAAGGGCAGCTTGGTAACATGATACGCCCGTTGCAGCTCGCGCTCCACCTGTTCCACTGCTCGGCTCGCCTTGGGTGATGGGCTCTGAGGCATGACAATCAGGATGTTTTGGACTGCAGCGTTACTCTCCTGTGCCACATAGGCGATCGTGAGGCGCGACGCGTTGGAGACGTTGATGGTGGTCGGGGCAGTGAAGCCTGCAGATACCAGGGCATGGTTGGGGATAGAAGCGCTCCCAGCACCATTTGCAACCAAAAGGACGCCCCAGGGCTTCAGAAGCTTCTTGATGTTGGCCAAGACAGCGGCGCTTTCACCTTCATACTTCTGAGCAGTGTCCAACACGATAAGATCACGAGAGGCTTCCTCAAAGCCCTGTGCAATAGGATCCTCAGAAAGGTTCAGCTGCTGATGGTGGATCAACTGCTTCCAAGGGCCTGATTGCTCCTCAGGAGCCACGGCACCGGACAGAACAACTGACTTGACACGCTTGTGGATCTCTTCTCCAGCTCCGAGAAGGGCCTTTGCAAGAAGGCTATCCGCAGACGAGTTGGATTCGAGAATGTGTAAAGCGGGATACTTGTGGGCGAGCAGAGTCACGTATTTACCCAGCGAGGTGGCGAGGTCGGGGCTGTCTTTCAGAATCTGTTGGATCTGAGCAGCATCGGTCATTGTCACATCCACAGCCAGGCGTGGAGCAATGGGGACATGGCCACCAAGAGATGCAGATGCGCCAGAAGCATCTGATTGCGCACCTGAACCACGGAGCGGTACGTGCTCGCAGCCACGCAGCGCAATGACGGGCCTGTCGTTTCCGTCCTCGCTAAAGGCAAATACGTCACTGGCCATTTTGTCGCCGCCGCCGCCGAGCTTGTAAGTGCGTGAGTAGCCACGATACTTGGTGCCCGGAGTTGAATCAAACTTGGCCGAGACAAAGATGGATGCCGTAGACACGGGCATGCGTGCCGTGAAGTCCTCGCCATACCACGCACTAGAGGTCAGGAGATGCACGAAAACGTCCAGGACAGATGGATGGATCAGATGGTCCGGCTGCCACTTCGCAGGGTAATACTGGTTAGTATCCTCAATCTCGACGGTGTAATGGGACTTGTCGTTGAGGAGGTTCAGCTCTGTGACTCCCTGGAAGGCCGGACCCAGGTGGAATCCGGCACTGTCGAGCTTGTCGTAAAAGACGGCGGGATCAAGGCTTGGGAAACCTGCCTGCTGAATCTCTTTATACTCCGCCTGGAGCTGGGCATTGGCGGCCGCCTCTTCGTCCACGAACACGCCATCTCCAATAGCCGAATCCTCCTGGGGTGTGTAGATGGCCTTGATCAAGCCATTGCAGTTTGCCGTCCATGTGCCACTCTCGTTACGGCTGGACACCTTGAACTCGGTCCAGTACGAGGAGTCTTCGTCTGCCAAGGGCGACGAGCGCCACGGCGCAAGCTGAAGTCTCGTCTCAATCGTCTGGTTAATGGGAACAACCAAAGCCTTGCCAATGGTGACGTCGCGCACTTCAAAGCCCTCAATGTCGGTGCGAGTCTGGATCTGGCGCATGCCTTCAATGGCCATGACAATCATACCCGCCATGGGGTAGATGTTGGTGC